GAAAGCAGCCATGCACAGCCTCAGTTTGCTTGAATTTCTCTTCCATGGTGAGGTAGAGGAGATCCCTCTCCACACCCTGTTCCCACCCTTCCCCCTCCTCCAGAGATTACATCTCAACCTCAACGTGGGAATTGAAGATATTGGAGAAAACAACCCGTCCCCTCCCGCTCCCCCTCCTCGAGGGCTGGAGGCAGCTCAGCAAGGTGAGAAATCTGCTGGATCCTGCCCCAGGACAGGTCTGGAAAACACCAACACACAGAAGGAGAAAGGTGCTGTGTGACGGAGAAAACAGGCGAGAGGCAGATGCCCTGGCTTTGCTTTTCCCTGGTGCCAGTGAAACACTCCACCCCCCAGGGCAAAGAGAGGGGGGGTCGCTACCCCTTTCCCAGCTTTGGCCCCATAACGTGGCTCCTCTTCCAGCCCAGCCCTGGGGGTCCCACCCCACATGCCCCCGCCCGCCCTCGCCAGCAGCCTCACTTTCACAGGTCGGGGCGCATTGCTTCGGGTGCTGCCCGCACACCCTGCTGCAGTTGACGCAGTTCCTCACGAGCTCGTCGTAGTAGAAGCCGGCTCTCTTGTTGCAGTCCATGGACTCTGAGGGAGGGCAGAGAGACAAACGCGGTGTCCTAAGCACGTCCTCCTCCCCTGTTATTTGAGGACAAGGCTCCCGAATCTCTGCCCTTGCACCACCCCTGGAGCCAGGACGAGCCTGGAGCTGCTGTGTAAATCTCCGACGGTCACCAGGTAAGACCTGTGCGCTGCTATAAGTGCTGGCAACCTCTCCAGGGCCAGCAGGGTGACAGACCCATGGGAATTATGGTGGATTTTGGCTGTATGAAAAATACTAGGGAGCATCAGCTGCATGAGGAGAGGGTGGTGGCCAGCCATGGTGGGGAACTCCTGGTTGTTGCACTTAAAGCTGCTGCCACCCTGGGTGGCACTTAAACCCGCCTGAGTACTGGCTCTGGACTCTGAGGATGGCATCTCCTGTCCTCACTGGGGAGATGGGGTGTGGTGCTGGGCTTTAGGGTGATGTCCTAGGACAGGGTGCAGAAATCCTTGACGGCCACTCGCTGGGCAGGGAAGGGGCCACGCACAAGGGTGGGTTCAGGGCTTGGGCAAAGTGCATCTGTCTCTTTTCCTCTTCTCCACCTATTATCACCACACCTTGGTGCCTGCCCCAGCACAGGGCTCGCAGTACAGCCCTGCAGACCTCCAGCTTGAGTTCAGCGTTATCCACACCAACCGACCCTGGTGTAGCTTGAGGCCCCACTTTTGGAGGCTGCTGATGCACTTCTGTGACCCCGGAAAGGAGCAGCACAGAGACGTGGGCAACTTGATCCTGCTCCGTGATGAGCTGTTGGCAGATGCAGCCCATTGCTGGGAAGCTGACACCTTCCCCAGCAATTTTGGCTCAAAGATCTGTTAAGCAGCTCAGACTCAGCACCTGCCCCGTGATTTATCCCAGGGACTGATCCCCGCTCCCGGCTTTGCCCCATTGCTGCTCACTCGGTCCAAGGAGGACCCCGCGGTGCCCAGCACTCACCGCACAGGACAGCGCACCTCCTCACCGTGGACGAGCCGCATACGAGGCTGCAGGGGATGCACTGGCCGACGAGGGTGTCCCAGTACTGCTGGTCGGTGCAGTTGTTCATGACATCCCACCGGACGTGCATCCCATTCACGCCTGTGGAGTGAGAGGCAGGTAGGTACGGGGTGGCCATCACCCTGCAGCCGCCTCGTGCCTGTGCCGGGGCGGCACTCTGGTCCTAGGGTTGGCAGCAGCAAAACCTGCTTCAGGCTTAGCAAGCTCTTCAATTTATAATCCAACGTGAGTGTGTCCTGGTCCCCGGGGATGTGCAGGGAGACCACTCTGGCTTATAGGTGGCCCTGAGGATCTGGAAGACTTGCTCCTGTCTTTATATACTTTTCTGAATATAACAGAAACTCAACCAGAATGACCACTGGGCAACGTCTTCTGAAAAAATTTCTAATTCTGGAAATGTTCTGAATTCGTCTGTAGCATCTTGTGTGTAATTTCTGACATCTCCCTTTGGTATTCTGGCATCATAACGAAACCCAATTTTGACGTGTGAAACTCCTGAGCAGCAGAAGGAGGGACACCTCTCTGCAAGAGCTTTAAGCACCAGTTCAACCAGTGCCAGCTGGGAGGGCTCGTGGTGGACGTGCTCTGGTCCCCGCCAGGAGCTGTTCGTCCCGTCCTCCTCTGCCGTCGTGTGCCCTGCGCCTGCGTGGGCTGGATGTGATGCCAAAGGTGCAGGGATGAGACTTGGGCAGCACAAAAAAGCTAACCAACGACTTGCAGTATTAAGAATTAGCTTGCTAAGGAGCATTTACTCATCAGCAGCTGAAATATTTGTGCCCGTCTCTTATCTGCAATCTCTCCTGTCCCACTGCAGGGTTTGGCCTTGGAGGCAACCTGAGCGATGGACTTGGTCCCTGGACGTGCCCCCGCTGATCCCGCGACTGCTCGGTAGGACTTGCCCGCGTGCCGTGCTGTGCTGCGGGACACACG